CTTTCTTTCTTTCTTTCTTTCTTTCTTTCTTTCTTTCTTTCTTTCTTTCTTTCTTTCTTTCTTTTCTCTCTCTCTCTCTCTCTCTCTCTCTAATTTCTTTCTCTCTCTCTCTCTCTATCTTTCTAGTTATCTATCTCCCCCCTCTCTCAATCTCTATGTACTTCTATTTCCCTCTCTTCATTGAGGTACCTCTTTCTAGAGATAGACAGACAGACAGATAGATAGATGGATAACTCTATTTGAATATACTTGGTTTGCTTTGTAATTTTTTTATGCATTTAAAAACATCATTCTGGGAATGGGTCCGTAGTCTCCACCAAACTACCAAAGGGGTCTATGATGCAATAAAAAGGTTAAGAACACCTGCTTAAAAGGGCTGCTAATTCACTTTCCTCAATAATCATTTGATTGTATTTACTCATTATGCCATGATCTGTCACTGAAGTGATCCCAGAGAAGATTTAGAAACAACAACACTTGGGACTAATAGCTGAGAATAATCTTGTTGGAACATTTCTACAAACTTGAGTAAACAGTCTCATTAAGGATGGAAATGTTAGGTCCGGGGAGAGAAAGGAACATAAGACCTGGGCTCATCTATGATGCTAACTAGCCATATAACTATGCATAAAAGTCAATCCCTTTGAATTTCAGTTTCCTAATCTGCAAAAAACCATGATAGTGATGATGATGATGATGATGATAATTTTTTTTTGTCAGAGGACAGATCTGTCATTTCATTGAGTAAGGGAATTCGATTATGTAAATGTTCTCCACTAATACAGGTCATCAACCTATCTACAACATGATTTTAGAGAATTGCCTGGGGCATTGAGCAGTTAAGAGAGAATTTCCCATGATCACATAACTAGTATGCACAAGTAGTAAGGCACCAATCTAGCTGGGCCTTCCTGAATCCAAGCCTAATCCTTTTCCCACTGTATCGTCATGCCTCTCATGCGTCTGTGAGGCTCACATAGAGATTATATATGTAAAGCACTTCGTAAAATTTATAGCATCATCTATATATGTATATATATGCATATATGTGCATATATACCTACACACATATCTATATATACATACCCACATACACATACTTACATAAATACATATGTATCAGTTATTAAACTGAGATCACAAATGAAGGACAAATTAAAGAGAGGATATGTATTTTGTGTTGGAATGATGTAATAAAAACTTTACTCTCTGACAGCAAGAGTGGAGCAGATAACTTTGGCTACAGTAGATTTTAGGGCACGGAGAGTTTAAAGTAAGAATGAATGGTAAAGTCATAGCTGTCATGTCTAGCACTGTTTTTTTTCTCGGTGGCTGTACATCCTGACAAATAACTGCTGCATCCCAGCAAACTTGTAAAAAGTCTCACATCTACTGGTGAATTGTATGTTTTGACCTTGAGGTCAATACTTAGCAAGAAGCAAAGAGCAACACATGTCTCTACCAGTTCAGACAAGCATTCTCCTTTCCTTGACCTTACTGTGAAATCTCTGTCTTCCAACCTTGCCTGCCCCACCAGATCGAGCCCCCTCTGAGTCTTTGTAAACGCTGTTGTTCTGAGCAGATGCAGATAGGTAGTCAGAATGAATTGGATGATGGCATGATTAGTTGCTTGCCTGGAATTTTCATTGAGTTTTACTTCTCACTTGCTATTATGTAGTTAACCATCTTGAGCCCTAATAAGAAGTATTTTTTCCTTGTATTCCTTGGCTCCTGAGGTAATTTATTTCAAACTGCTGAGGGGATCATAGGTTTCAGAAATAGAAGGGTCCTTAGCAATCACTTGGTCCAACCAGTAATTTTACAGATGAGGAAACTGAGGCCCAGGGAAACTAAGTGGCTCAACCACTATCACACTCCATTGGTATTCATGTAATGTCAGAAGAACTAATGATAATAATAATAATAACAATAGCAGTTAGCATTTATTGAGTACTTAAATAATAATAATAATAATTTAACATATGGAGCTTTTGAGATTGGCAAAGTACTTTCCATATACTATTTCATTTGATCTTTACAGCAACCCTATGAGATAGGTGCTATTTTTAATTCCCTTTCTACATATGAGAAAACTGAAGCTGACAAATGATGCGCCCTGCTTCACATAGCCAGTATGTGACAGACACAGTATCTGAACCTAGAACTTTCTAGCTTCGAGGCTAGCTCTCTATCCACAGCACCAAATGACCTCGCACATAGTAGGCACTTAATAAATGTTTGTTAAGTGAAATGTGGAATGGAATGGGGTTATTGGCTAATTAAATATCCCTGAGTACCCTATGCAGAAGCAGGAGGTACTCAGACCCTCAAGAAAAAGCTAGTGTGGGATATATACTCACTTAGAAGCAAAATTGATGCTAGCCTGGGAGAATGGGATAGGGTGAGGCCAAAGGAGGATTGTCGCAGGTCCTCACCATCTGTCATTGCTAAAAATGAGTCTTGGGTGGGTGCTTTTTGCCAATGATTCATCATATAATAATTCTTTTCTCCTCATTTTGTTTGGTTTCCAGGGTGGAGTTTTAGTAAAAGTGACAGAAGTGTGTCCTCCTTTGAACTGCTCAGCAGAAGATCACATTCTTCCAGAGAACCAGTGCTGTAGTGTCTGCAGAGGTGAGCCAAGATTTAGAGGGCATTGACAAAGGGAGGGTTGATGGTTGGGAAGAATGAGGAGGGTGGAGCAGACACGGTTCCTTCTGATAGGTGGATGGAATGATTGCTATGCTGATAGTCAGGAGATCAAGAACTTAAATGCATTACTGCCATTAGTGAGTTATTATAGCCATGGACAAGATACTTAATATGCTTCTGCCTCAGTTTCCCTAGTCATAATTGGTGATGATAATTTCTTCTATTTATTTATTTATTTTGATTTATCAATAATCACTTCCACATGCTTTTGAGTTTAAAATTTTTCTCTCCCTTCCTCCCCACAACCCTCCCCAAGACGGCACACAATCTGATATAGGCTCTACATTTACATTCATATTAAACATATTTTCACATCAGTGAAGTTGTAGGTAGACATTAAAACCAATAGGAGGAACCACCAGAAAGAGGAAACAAAACTCAACAGAAGAGAAAAAAAATAACAATTCAGCTTCCATAGTTCTTTCTTTGGGTGTGGATAGTATTTTCCATCACAAGGCCTCTGGAGATGTCTTAGATCCTTGTATTGCCAGGAAGGGTCAAGTTTATCAATATTAGTCATCACACAACATGGCTGTTGTTGTGTACAACGTTCTCTTGGTTCCGCTCACTTCACTCAGCATCAGACCATACAAGTCTTTCCAGGTTTTTCTGAAGTCAGCCTGTTCATCCTTTCTTATAGTACAATAGTATTCCATCACATTCATATACCACAGCTTGCTCAGCCATTCCCCAATTGATGGGCATCCTCTCAATTTCCAATTCTTTGCCACCACAAAAGAGCTGCTATGAATGTTTTTGTACATGTAGGTCCTTTTCCCATTTGTGTGATCTCTTTGGGTTATAGCCCTTGAAGTGCTATTGCTGGATCAAAGGGTATGCACATTTTGATAGCCCTTTGGGCATAGTTCCAAATTGCTCTCCAAGATGGTTGGATCATTTCACAACTCCACCAACAATGCATTAGTGTTCCAATTTTCCCACATCTTCTCCAACATTTATCATTTTCCTGTTTTGTCATGTTGGCCATTCTGATAGGTGTGAGGTGGTACCTCAGAGTTGTTTTGATTTGCATTTCTCTAATCAATAGTGATTTAGAGCATTTTTTCATATAACTATAGATGGCTTTAATTTCTTCATCTGAGAACTGTCTGTTCATATCCTTTGACCACTTATCAATTGGGGAATGGCTTGTATTCTTATAAATTTGACTTAATTCTCCATATATTTCAGAAATGAGGCCCTTATCAGAGAGACTGATTGTAAAAATTCTTTCCCAATTTTCTACCTTCCTTCTTATCTTAGCTGCATTGGCTTTGTTTGTGCAAAAACTTTTCAATTTAATGTAATCAAAATTATCTATTTTGCTTTTTGTAATGTTTTCTATCTCCTGTTTGGTCATGAATTCTTCCGTTCTCCATAGATCTGACAGGTAAACTATTCCTTGCTCTCTCAGTTTGCTTATAGTATCAGCCTTTATATCTAAATCATGTACCCATTTTGACTTTATTTTGGTATGTGGTATAAGATTTTGGTCTATGACTAGTTTCTGCCAGACTCTTTTCCAGTGGGGATGATAGTTTCTACTGACCATACAGGGCTGAAACAGGGTCATGCTACTAACTAGAACCCATGTGCCTTATATATAGTGAATGCTTGAATCTTGTTTAAATTTATAAATGACTGAACTCAGTTATATTCAGAAGCTCCAGGTATGCAAAAACCTTTTTCTTCACAACATGTCTTTTGTGAATCAGGTATTATTAGAGAATAACCTAATGCATAGAATACTTGGTTTGGAGTCAAGAAGACATAAGTTTGAATACTGGGTCAGGCACTTGCTTCCTCTTTTACTCTGGTGTTTTTTTAATTGGCTTCCAATGGAACAATCAGTATCACAGCATTTGCTATATTTATTTCTTTCCTTAGAGCGTGGGTTAGGAAGATATACAAGGACATTCTCAATGATCCCAGGCAGAGGTGGCCTGCATTGTCATTCTGTCATGGGTAGCTGCCAACGTTGGGCAGCACATGCCCTGACTGCTTCCCCTCCAGATGTCTGATAAAGGAAGGGTCCTCGCCTGTGCCCACCTAGGGGGCAGCTCCCCACAAGTTGGTCCCTGTCGTGCTGTGCTGTCTATTCAAGCTTGTCTCGGGTCCAATTCCACTCCCAAGTCAACCTCTTTGAACCTCACTTTCGTCATCTGTAAATTGGATTGATATTAGTTCCCACCTCGCTGGGTTGTTATGAGGATTGAGTGAGGTAAAGAATGCATAGTGCTTTGTAAGGCAGCTAGGTGGTGCAGTGGATAGAGTACCAGCCTGGAGTTGGGAAGACCTGAGCTCAAATTTGACCTCAGACACTCACTAGCTGTGTGACCCTGGGTAAGTCACTTAACCTCTATATGCCTCTGTTACCTCAATTGTACAATGTAGATTATAACAACACCCACCTCACAGGGTTGTTGTGGAGATCAAAACATAATAATCATACAGTGCTTGGCATAGTGTCTGGCACATGATAAGCACTACGTAAATACTAGCTATTATTTTATATTTACTGTGATCTTTTCAGCACTATATGAATGTTTATTATCATAACCATCTATGACATATAAGCTATCTTGCATAAGAGAGGCAGAGCACTATAATGGTTAGAATGATAGACAGAACTGGATTCAAATCCCACCTCTGACTATATACTGGCTGTGTGACCTTGGGCAAGTCTCTTGACCCATTAAGGCTGTCTAGTCAACTGTCTTTGCCTATACATTATGGAGAAAGTGCTGATCTGCATTGGGAGAGGGAGTTTCCTCAACTGCAAATACCCTGTTCCAATCCCTGTCCCCATCTGCATGCCCTTCCCCATCCCCTTCCCTATTCCTGTCTTTATCTCCATCCCCATCCCCATCCTTATCCTTATCTTTATCTTTATTCTCATCCCTGTCCTTACACCTAAACCAGTCTCCATCCCCATCCCCGTTTTCATCCTTATCCCCATCCCTATCCTTGTGTTGTTTAGTTGTTTCAGTCATGTCCAACTCTTCATGACCCTATTGGGGTTTTCTTGGCAGAGATACTGGAGTGGTTTGCCATTTCCTTCTCCAGCTCATTTTACAGATGAGGAAACTGAAGCAAACAGGGTTAAGTGACTTGCCTAGGGTCACACAGCTACTAAGTGTCTGAGGCTGGATTTGAGTTCATTTGAAGATGAGTCTTCATGACTCCAGGCCTGGTGCTTTATCCACTGTAGCTGCCTCCTGTGCTTAAATCCATCCTTATACCCATTCCCGTCATTATCCCTATCCCCATTCACATCTTTTTCCTTATCCCTTTTCCTATCACTATTCTTATCCCTACCCCCATCCCTATCACTAGCTCTCCTCATCACTGCCATTTTATCAATGAGAAAACTGAGAATCAGAGAGGTTAGGTAACTTCCCACTATTATACAACTAATAAGTATCAGAGTTGAAAATTGAACCTGGCTTTTTCATGACCAAAAGTCCAGCATTATTTCCCAGAAATCACCTCCTCTTTATTGATAACAAAAGGGTGACATTTGGGAAAATTAACAGGTCAGTGCAATACTGTATATTAATATTACTGTTATAGCTGTTTCATTTTGCTCTAGACCTGCGATTTCATCAGTATAGGGAATTCCCAGTGAGTATATTCCTTCTACCAATACCAATTGACTCATCTTCTTCAACTTTCAATTTTAGAGTTCCCTGAGACAGCATAGGTTAAGGTACTTGATCAGAGGTGAGAATTGAATGTTTGGCCTCCTCACTCTGAGGCTAGCTCTTTATTCATACTACCTCTCCTCACTTTGACAATTACCATTCTGTTAGAATTTTGAATACCTTTTACCTTCTGCAAGGAGGAAAATACTGAAATGTCAATTTCTTGGGCAAGGTAGATATTTGGTTTCCATGAAACACATCTGTCTGGTTTACCTTTATATCTTATTTCTAAAATTGAACGACCCTGATGATAATACGTCTCAGTTTGGACATGGAAGTGGGAGGATAAAGAATCATATTTTTAACCCTTTCCGTTTCTCCTCTATGCCCGTAGTTCCCTCTGGTACATATTGTCCTTAGACCAAACTGAATATTTTCTCTCAGGTTGGCATAAGTGGACAATGATTGGTGAAAATTTGGTGGGTAAATGTAGCTTCCAGATAACCATCTTATGCCCTGTGGGACCACATTGAGTATCAAAAATAATGCCTAGGTCTTTTTTTGAATTCATTCCTCAAAATGCCATACCATCTACTGGAAATATCCTTCAGACTTCCAATGATCCAGTGAATTTTGTTAGGAGTTGTCTGTTATTAATAACCATTAGGGTTGTTAGGTGGAACTCATAATTTAAGGCAAAATTCATCACTTGATTTTGTTGAGGTGTCAAGTGGGTCTGAATCTGTGTAAGCCTTTTCCAATTTATGCTTTTATTAGAGTGAATTCATTGATTGGGGCACCAAAGATGCAGGAGAATTTTCATTGCTCTGACCTATTTCAATAGACTGGGTCTCTTCTTTTCTGATAGAGCTTAGTGTTTTGCATTAACATTCTTCATACCTTTCACTGACCCTGACCCTTCTACCCCCACCTTCAGATGAGGGACTAAACTAATACTTTCTGAGTCTATCTTGGGTAAGGTAAGGAAGACACTTGATTTTAGTGAAACAAACTTTTTGTTCCCAAATCATAAAATTGGAGAGTTATAAGGGTCCTCAGCAACCATCCACCATGGCCTCTTAACATGGGATCCATGAACTTTTAATTAATTATTTATTATAATTAATGTTTTGATAATTGTATATCAATAGAACTGTTTTCCTACTATGCATTTAAAAATTTGATTCTGAGAAGTCCATAGGTGTCACCAGATTACCAAATGGACCCATGACTCACAAAGGTTAAACCCTGATTCTAGTCTATCAATCCTAGAAAGGA